CGTGAGCAGATTTTTCTGCCTTGGGGCACAGGAGGGAAAAAACAACTGTTTAAAAGACCAACTAGAATATATAAGATCAGTCCTAGAACTTTGTCAGACAGTGGGAGAGATGCTGGAACTCTCTGGATCAGAAGGGCTGGAGAGCCCCATGGTTTACCTTCCCTTTCTGCCTTGATAGCATGAATAGGAAGAGGGTCTGGGTGAGTGCCCAAGCCAGCCTACTACTTCAGTAAGCCCTGGGATCCTAGCCCATACCAGCCCCAACCATCCCCCCAATGCAGATTGTGTACAATCAACACAGGGCACCCCTGGCCAATACTTACTACAGTTCCAGCTATCTCACTAAAATGACGCAGGTGCAAAACACCCTAAAATACTCCATGCTTGCACTGCTTTGGTTCCAGGTGATTTGACAGGGTACTACCCCCACCAAGCAAAACACCTTGGGACACCCTGGCCTTCTCCTGCCTCTGCTCCAGCCACCCTGCCAGGTACCCCTGCACCTGATGCCCCAAGAACCCCCACCTACTTTAAGCGTTAGCTGTCATGCTAAGGCATCCTCTGCAAAGAGCCCTGGACTGTCCCAGACCATGCCCACTTCCCCTCTGACCATCACAGGGTTGTCCTAACATATAGGACAGCCACAGCTCCAGCCACACAAAGTCACTAAGTGCTACATTGTACACAGGGGATGATCATACAAAAATATCACTTCAAGTTTAGAAGTAGCTCTTCCATCTAATTCATAGAAACAAACACAAAGTCAAGCAAATAACAAAGAGGAAAATGCTCCAAATAAGAGGATAGCTTAAGGGTGGTTATCTTGGATATCCAATGAAGAAGCATTCACATTCTAGGGGTCCAGAGAGGAGGACAGAAAACTTGTAGAAACAATAGCTGAAAATGTGCCTAACCTAGGAAGGAAACAAACATTCAGGTTCAAGAATCACAGAGAGTTCAAAGTAAGATGAACTCAAAGATGGCCAGAAGACAAAAATAAAATGTCAAAGATTAAAGAAAGAATTTTAAAAGCAGCAAAAAGAATTAGTTACATACAAAGGTTAAAGCAATCAGCGTATTTTTCAGCAGAAACTTTGGAGGCCAGAAGGGACTGGCATGATATACTGAAAACATGGCAAGGGAAAAACCTCCAAGAATACTCTACCTGGCAAAGTTATCATTCAGAATTGAAGGAGAGGGAGTTTCCCAAACAAAAGTTAAATTTATCACCACAGTTACAAGAAATGTTAAAGGCACTCCCTTAAGTGAAGAAAAAGGCCATAATTAGAAGAAAATAATGAAAAAATTTCATGAGTGAAAGGAAACACAATAAAGGTAGTAGAGAAATCACTTATAAAGCTAGTATGAAGGTTAAAAGACAAAAGTAACATCAATTATATCTAAAAAAGTAGTTAATGGGACTCACAAAATAGGAAGATATAAAATATGACCACATATACATGGGAGGGACTAAAAATGAAGTTCATATAAAATGTGTTTGTACATAACTGACCATGAACTTATTATAGACATCTATATACTTAAAATATTATATATGAACCTCTTGGTAACCACAAACCAAAAATTTACGATACCCAAAAAAATTATAAAGCAAAACACTAAAAAAGTCATCCATTACAGAGAGCAAGAGAAGAAGAAAGGGAGAGAAAAAATCTACCTAAAAAATCAGAACACAAAATGTCTATAAGTACATACCTACCAATAATTACTAAAGGGGCACCTGGGTGGTACAGTTGGTTAAATGTGCAACTCCACATCTGTGATCTCAGAGTTGTGAGATTGAGCCCTGTGTCAGCCTTCAGGTTCAACACGGGGTCTACTTAAGACTCTCTCTCTCCTCTCCTCCCTCTGCCCCTCCCACCTGTGTGCATGCTTTCCCTAATAAATCTTTTTTTAAAATTCCTTTAAATGTAAGTGGTCTAAATATTCCAATAGACCTAAACAAAAGGGTTAAAAAAAAAAAGACCCATCAAAAAACAACAACCAAAAACACAAAAAACAAGACCCATCAGTACATTCCTGCAAGAGATTCATTTCAGACCTAAAGACACACACAGACTGAAAGTAACAGGATGAAAAAAATATCAGAGGAAAAAATAGCAAAGGGAAAAATAACAGGATGAAAAAATGGAAGGGGGAAAAAAAAAGGGTGCAGGCACCTGGGTGGCTCAGTTGGTTAAGTGTCTGCCTTCAGCTTGGGTCATGATCTCAGAGTCCTGGGATCAAGTTCCATGTCAGGCTCCCTGCTCAGCAGGGAAACTGCTTCACCCTCTCCTTCTGCTACTCTCTCTTTCTGTTAAATAAATGAAACCTTAAAAAAAAAAAAAAAGATGTGTTATCAATACTTATAGCAGACCTAACAGACTTTAAAACAAAACTGTGGACTCAGATACAAACAGAGGGCTTTGGAGGGGAGGAGGGTGGGGGGTTGGGTGAACCTGGTGGCGGATATTAAGGAGGGCATGTATTGCATAGAGCTCTGGGTATGGTCATAAACAATGAATTTTGGAACACTGAAAAAAAATAAAATTTAATTAAAAAATAAAAGAGAGACTAAGGTGAGCATACATAATGATAAAAGGATCATTGAATCCAATGAGAGGATTCAACAGTTGTAAATATCTATTATGCAGCCAACATCGAGTACCTAACTACATAAAGCAAATATTAACAGACCTAAAGGAAAAAAGGGATAGCAATACATAATGGTAGAGGACTTTAAACCCCACATACATCAATGGATAATTCATCCAGACATAAAATCAACAAGGAAACAGCGGCTTTCAATGACACACCAGACTAGATGGACTTAACGGATATATATTTTAAAAAAGTTTTCATATATATAGTATATATATATATATATATATATATATATATATATATATATACATATATACACATATACATATATATGTGTGTGTATATATATGTGTGTGTGTGTGTGTATATATATATACATATATATGTGTGTGTGTATATATATACATATATGTGTGTGTGTGTGTGTGTGTATGTGTGTATATATATATATCCAAACCACAGAATACACATTCTTTTCAAACACGCATGGAACATTCTCCAAGATAAATCACATGTTAGGCCACAAAACAAGTCTTAATAAATTCAAGAAAACTGAAATCATATTAAGCATATTTTCCAACCACAATGGAATGAAACTAGAAATTAATTACCAGGAAAAAAAATAGAAAAAACAAACACAAACACATGGAGGCTAAACAGCATGCCACTGAACAATAATAATAGATTGAGAAAGAAAGAGGAAACATAATATACGGAGACAAATATGAAAATAGTATGGTCCAAAATCTATGGGACACAGCAAAAGCAGTAGTAGGAGGGAAGTTTATAGAAATATAGGACTACCTCAGGAAACAAGACAGATCTCAAATAGACACTCCAACCTTACATCTAAAGGAACTAAGAAAAAAAGCTCAAAGTTAGAAGAAAATAACAAAGATCTGATTAATAAATAAATGAAAGAGAGAATTTTTAAAAAAAGAAAATACCAGTGAAACAACTATTTCCTTGAAAAGATAAAGGTAAGAAAACTTTAGCCAAATCCGTCAAGAAGACAGGACTCAAATCAGAAATAGAAGAGCCAACTCCACAGAAATACAGAAGATTATAATAAACTACTACCAAAAAACTATATGCAACTTGGACAACCTAAAAAAATGGATAAATTCCTAGAAATATAGAACCTCCCAAAAAGAAATTAGGAAGAAATAAAAAATCTGATCAGACTAATAGCAACAAAATTGAATTTATAATCTAAAATCTCCCAACAAACAAAAGTCCAAAACCAGGGACGCCTGGGTGGCTCAGTTGGTTAAGCAGCTGTCTTCGGCTCAGGTCATGATCCCAGCGTCCTGGGATCGAGTCCCACATCGGGCTCCTTGCTCATCAGGGAGCCTGCTTCTCCCTCTGCCTCTGCCTGCCATTCTGTCTGCCTGTGCTTGCTCTCTCTCCCTCTCTCTCTGACAAATAATTATAAAAAAAAAAAAGTCCAAAACCAGATGTTGTCACAGGTCAATTCTACTAAACATTGAAAAAAGAGGTAATACCTATTCTCAAAGTCTTCACCACCCCTTACAAAAAAAAAAAAAAAAAAAAAAAGAGGAAGAAAAACTCCACATTGATTATGTGAGATCCTAACACCAAAACAAGACAAAGACAATACAAAAAAGGGAAAACAACAAGCCAAGAAAATATTAGCAAACCAATATTCAACAATATATTGTTGCAGATTCAACAACATATTAAAAGAATCATCCACTGGGGCGCCTGGGTGGCTCAGTGGGTTAAGCCTCTGCCTTCGTCTCAGATCATGATCTCAGGGTCCTGGGATCAAGCCCCGCATCGGGCTCTCTGCTCAGTGGAGAGCCTGCTTCCCCCTCTCTCTTTGCGTGCCTCTCTACCTACTTGTGATCTCTCTCCCTCTCAAATAAATAAAATAACGTCTTTAAAAAAAAAAAAAGAATTATCCACTAAAAGCAAGCAGGATTTATTCCAGAGATGCAAGGATGGTTCAATATCCACATACCAACATGGTATACCACAGTAACACAATGAAAGATAAAAGTCATATCATCATAACAATAGATGCAGAAAATTCTTTTTTTTTTTTAAATGATTTTATTTATTTGACAGAGAAATCACAAGCAGGCAGAGAGGCAGGCAGAGAGAGAGGGGGAAGCAGGCTCCCCACTGAGCAGAGAGCCCGTTTCAGGGCTCAATCCCAGGATCCTGAGATCATGACCTGAGCAGAACGCAGAGGCTTAACCCACTGAGCCACCCAGGTGCCACAGATGCAGAAAATTCTTTTGACAAAATTTATTATCCATTCATGATAAAAACTCTCAAAGTAGGATTAGAGGTAATGTACCTCAACATTATATAGGCAATATATGATAAAACCCACAATTAAGATCATTCTCAATGATGAAAAACAGAGCTTTTCCTCTAAGTTCAGAAATAAGGATGTCCACACTTACCACTTTAATTCGATACAGTATTAGAAGTCCTAGCTGTAGCAATCAAACAAGAAATAAAGGGCATCCAAATTGGTAAGGAAGAAGTAAAATTGTTACTATTTTCATATGACATGATACTATAAATAAAAACCCCTAAAGACTGCAACAAAAAACTTGAACTGATAAATGAGTTCAGTAAAGTTGCAGGACACAAAGTTAATGTACAGAAACCTGTTGCATTTCAATACCTAATAATGAAGTAGCAGAAAGAGAAATTAAGAAATAATTCCATTTATGATTGCACCAAGAATCAAAAAAAAAAAAATACCTAGGAATAAACTTAACCAAGGAGGTGAAAGACTTATATTCTATAAACTATAAAACATTTATGAAAGAAACTGAACATGACACAAATGGAAAGCTATTGGAAGAATTAATATTGTTAAAATATCCATACTACCCAAAGTCATCTACAGATTTAATGCAATCCTTTTCAAGATACAAGCACCAGGTTTGTTTGTTTTTTTTAACAGACCTAGAATAAATAATACTAAACTCCTTATGGTATAATGAACAAAATTGGAAGGATCAAAATTCCAGATTTCAAAATATACTTCACAAAGCTATAATAATCAAAACAGTATGGTACTGGCACAAAAAGAAACACAAAGTTCAATGGTACTGAATAGAAAGGCCAGAAATAAACCCACATTTTTATGTCAATCTACAACAGAGGTGGCAAGAATATACAATGGGGAATATCTCTTCAACAAATGTTAATGGGAAAATAAGACAGCAACATGCAGAAGAATGAAATTGGACCACTTTCTCAACCCATATATAAAGATGATTTAAAGATCTAAATGTGAGACCCGAAACCAAAAGTATTCTAGAAGAAAACATGGCTAGTAATCTAAGATCAGCCTTAGCAACATTTTTCTAGATATGCCTTCACAGGCAAGGGAAATAAAAGCAAAAATAAACTATTGGGACTACAACAAAATAAAAAGCTTTTGCACAGTGAAGGAAACCATCAACAAAATGAAAAACCTATTGAATGGGAGATCTTTGTGAATGATACATCCAAGAAGGGGTTAATATCCAAAATATATAAAAAATGTACACAAAACACAAAGAGTCCAATTAAAAAAGGGCAAAGGACCTGAATAGATATTTTTCCAAAGAAGATATACGAATAGCCAACAGACACATAAAAAGATGCTCAACATTATTAATCACCAGGGAAATGCAAATGAAAACCTCAAGGAGATATCACCTATCAAAACAGCTACTATCAAAAAGACAAATTTAATTACTGACAAGGATGTGGAGAACGTTTATGCCTGTTGGTGAGAATGTGAATTGGTATATTCACTATGGAAAACAGTATGGAGTTTCCTCAAAAAAATTAAAATTAGAAATGTCATATGATCCAACAATTCCACTACTGGGTATTTACCCTAAGAAAATGAAAACACTAATTCAAAAAGATATGCATCCCTATGTTTACTGCAGCATTATTTATGATAGTCAAGATGTGGAAGCTATCCAAGTGTCTATCCATAGTTGAAGGAATAAAGGAGATGTGGGTGTGTTTCTGTGTCTGTCTCCCCCTCTCTCTCTCCCACTTTCCCTCCCTCTCTGTCTATATGTATGATGGAATATTTCTCAGCCATAAAGAAATGAGATCTTGCCCTCTGCAACAACATGGATGGACCTAGAAGGTATTATGCTAAGTGAAATAAGTCAAAGACAAATATTATATGATTATAGTCATATGTGAGATTTAAGAAACAAAACAAGTGAGCAAAGGAACAAACAAACGACAGACTTCTAAATACAGAGAACTAGTAGTTGGCAGAGGAGAGGTGGTGGGGGGAAATAAATAAGTCGTACTCAGCTAAAAAGCCAAATTCTACACTGACAAAAGTTCCTCATTTATATAAAGCCACAGGCATATCAATCCTTACATCCTTTATTATTTTCCAATGAATCTCGAATTCATGTTGACCAACTGTACCAAAATCTCTCAGCACAGTTGGTAAAAAATACAGTTCCTAGGCTCTATGCCAGACCTACTGAATCAATCTCTTGAGATATTTTATCTGGTGACTCTTAAACCAGTAACTCTAAACCTATTTATATGAAATAGAATATAGATTTCATATGTATATATTTCCTATTTAAATTTTAAGTTTTTGAAAGGCAGGTATCATTTATTCACTAAACAATTTTTAACCTTGTGTGAGATAGAAAAGAGCTGGTCTCCACCTTCAAAAAATCTCATTATTTAGTCTTGGTATAGGTATATCTCATTTTATTGTGCTTCACAGATAATGCTTTTTTTTTTTTTTTTTTTTTTTACAGATTTAAAGTTTTTGGCAACCCTGCATCAAGCAAGTCTATCAGCACCATTATCCCAAAAGCATTTGCTCACTTTATGTCTCTGTGTCACATCTTGGTAATTCTCACAACACACCAAACTTTTTCATTATTTGCTCTGATTTGTTATCAGAGATTTTTCATGTTACTATTGTAAGAGCTTTAGGGTGCAACAAACCATACCCATATAAGATGGCAAACAACCCATAAATGTGTGTGTTCTGAGGGCTCCACCCACTGGCTGTTTCCCTGTCTCCATCCCTCTTCTGGGCCTCCCTATTGCCCGAGACACAACTACATTGAAATTAAAACAAATTAATAATAATAAAAAAACACAAATTAATAACTGTACAATGGCCTCTAAGTGTTCAAGTGAAAGGAAGAGTCACACCTCTCTCACTTCAAATCAAAAGCTAGAAATGATTAAGCTTAGTGAGGAAAGTATGTCAAAAGCTGAGATAGGCCAAAAGCTAGGCTTCTTATGCCAAACAGCCAGGTTGTGAAAGCAAAAAGTTCTTGAAGAAAATAGAAAGTGCTGCTCCAGTGAACACACGGTTTGTAAAAAAGCAAAACAGCTATATTGCTGATATGGAAAAAGTTGTAGTGGTCTGGATGGAAGATCAAACCAACCACAACATTCCCTTAAGCCATAACCTAATCCAAAGCATAAGACCTTAAATTTTGTGAAGGTTGGGAGAAGTGAGGAAGCTGCAAAAGTAAGTTTGAAGCAGCAGGGGTTAGTTTAAGACTTTCATGGAGGGGGGGCGCCTGGGTGGCTCAGTGGGTTAAAGCCTCTGCTTTCGGCTCAGGTCATGATCTCAGGGTCCTGGGATCGAGCCCAGCATCGGGCTCTCTGCTCCGCAGGGAGCCTGCTTCCTCCTCTCTCTCTGCTTGCCTCTCTGCCTACTTGTGATCTCTCTCTCTCTGTCAAATAAATAAAAAAAAATTTTAAAAAAAAAAATAAAAAAAAGAAATAAAAATTAAAAAAAAAAAAAAAGACTTTCATGGAGGCAGTAACTGCAGATGAGGTAGACCTAGCAGGAGAACTAGAATTAGAAGTGGAGCCTGAGGATGTGACTGAATGGCTGCTGTGTCATGATAAAACTTCCATGGGAATTGCTTCTTATGAATGAGCAAAGAAAGTGGTTTCTTGAGATGGAATCTACTCCTGGTGAAGTCGCTGTGAAAATGGTTGCAATGACAACAAAAGATTTAGACTATCACATAAATTTAGGCAATTTAGCAGCAGCAGGATTTGAGAGAATGGACTCCAATTTTGAGAGAAGTTCCACTGTGGGTAAAATGCTATTTAAACAACATTGCATGCTATAGAGAAATTGTAAAAGGAAGAGTACATCAGTGCAGCAAACGTTATTGTTTTAAGAAATCGCCACCGCCTCCCCAACCTTCAGCAACCACCACCCTGATCAGTCACAGCCATCAACATCAAGGCAAGCTCATTTCCCAGCAAAAAGATTACAACTTGCTGAAAAGCTCAGATGATGGTTAGCATTAGCAATGAAGTAATTTTTAATTAAGGTATTTACATTATTTTTCAGATATAATATTATTGCACACTCAATAGACTATAGTGTAGTGTAAGCATAACTTTATACCTACTGAAAAACAAAAAAATTCATTTGACTTGCTTGGGGTGCCTGGGTGTCTCAGTCGGTTAGTGTACAACTCTTGATTTTGGCTCAGGTCATGATTTTGGCTCAGGTCATGATTTCAGGGTCATGAGATCAAGCCCTGGTACCAGGCTCTGTGCTGAGCATGGAGCCTATTTAAGTTTCTCTCTCCTCCTCCCTTTGCCCTTCTCCTGCCTGTTTGCATGCCTGCATGCTCTCTCTTTAAAAGAGAAAGAGAGAAGGATACAGAGGAGAAGAGAAGGGAGGAGAGGGAGAAGAGGAGCGGGGAGAGGAGAGGAAGGGGAGGGGAGGAGACAAGGCTTGGTTATCTTAATATGCAACCAGGTTTGAGATCACTGATCCAGCGCCACATTATTTTTTATTACCCATATATCGCCTGGCAAGATGCCTTTTGCTGTAATCTTCCACTCTAATCTTGCTCACTATGGCAATGCGGAGGCCTGTGTCATAGCTCTAATTCTATGGAGTTAGTCCTTTGAGCTTTCTTGGACATCAGGTGCTTTACAAGTAACTCAGAGCCTATGAAGTGAGTGAGACACTTCCCCCAGGACTATGTCTACTCTTAGGCAGGAGTCCTGCACTTGTGAAAGCAGGGCCTGGACAGCTAAGCCCTTCCTTATTCTTGCTGACCTAATGGCCTATTTAATATCTCTAACCTGCTGCAAGGTAAGTAGGGGGAACAATATCAGTGCTGTGTCTTCATATGGATAGAGAACAGAGCACCTTAAAATTCTGTAAAACTTCTCTAATAAAAACCTCAAAAGTTCCAGAAAATATTTTCAGAATATATGTGCTGAAATTCTTTCCTACTCAGTAAAACTGAGATTCTATTAGTCACACCTTCATGAATACATTTTGATATGGAAAATAAGGCGTTTCCAAAAAAAAAAAAAAAACACGAACTTTTACCTGTGATCCCTTAATTTCACGATGGAAAAAGTCTGTGGTTTCTTTGACTAAAGTGGTTAATGCGTAATATTCAGGTGATAAACAATTAGCTTCTTGCTCTATGTCTATATTAATTCCATCCATGTATTGTGTTTTGGCCAACTTAACTTTTTGAGCTATCCAGGATGCTCTGAAACTAGGATTGATGAGATCCTTTAAGGGTGCATCTCCTATGGAAGAAATATACATCCTTTGTGCATATATGCTTTTTGCAGTTTAATGACATTTAGTTCACAAACCCTTTAAAACATCTCATTAGTTTGGAATACTAAGTCCCCAATTTAAGTTTTCCAAGTAGAGAAATCATATACCAAAATAATAATAAAGTCTCAATCCCCAAAATAACCATTATGAATAATAAGTAACATAATTCTCAAATTAGAAGTAGAAATTGAAGACTATGACTAGCTAAAAGTCATCATGCTAATCATGATTCACATTTTGCTCAAAATCATAGTAGCTTAATTCTTTAAAAATAACTATCTGTGAAATGACTTAGTATCTAAGATTAATTGTAAGACAATAAAAAATAAACCAGATAAACATGAAAAGGGAAGTTTTTGGAAAGTCAGGATGGCAAACAATACAAGTAAACTTACCAATTGGCCAGACACATCTGGTAAAAACTGTAACTCACCTTTTAGCACTACTCTGGCTCCATGTGAATGAGCATAACACATAAGTTCTGGGTCATATTTTCCAAAAATCACCACAGTTGTAATCTGGGACCAATCATAAAATTTCCAAGTTTTATTTCCAACATCAAAAACAAACACCTGCCAAAACAAAACAGATAAGCATCATCATTTAAACCTAGAATACAATGCTGATCACCCAAAATAACATTAAACACTGATCATAAGCCAGGCATTAAGAGTACAACAGCAAGTAAGACATAGGTGTCCTACTATAACTGGTGGTGGGAGAAATTAGCCAGGCCTCAAAAGTAGGGCCAGGAAGAAATCGTGGAAAGAGCCAAGACCTGGAGGCAGAGAAAACACGGTGACTGCATGGGTACGTATTGAGTGTAGCTGACACCTTGAATGCGGCAGGAGACAGCAGTGAAGAGCGCAAGAGTTGTAGGCAGGGTTAAGTCCTAAAAGGCTTTTAGAGAAAGCCTGCAGAGAAATTAGCACATTAACCTGAGGGAAAGAGTTTTATTTTTTTTTATTTTTTTTTTTTAAAGATTTTATTTATTTATTTGACAGAGAGAGATCACAAGCAGGCAGAGAGGCAGGTAGAGAGAGAGAGGAGGAAGCAGGCTCCCTGCTGAGCAGAGAGCCCGATGCGGGGCTCGATCCCAGGACCCTGAGATCATGACCTGAGCCGAAGGCAGCGGCTCAACCCACTGAGCCACCCAGGCGCCCCATGGGAAAGAGTTTTAAAAGGAGAATGTATACATTCTAGGTATGCATTTATATATACATTTTAGAAAAACACCTTCAGCTAAAGTGGGGAGAGAGACTAAAACTGGAAGAATAACAGGAAAGCTGTTAGAAGAATCTATGCAAAGATGATGACGACCTCAAATTAAACTTGTAGAAAGGCAGAGATAAATAAGATAAATGAGGAGATATGGAGGATCCTAACGGCACAATTAACAGGACTTTATAACTAATTGAATGAGTAAAGAAAGAGAAAGAGAGGTTGATTAATACTCGTTTCTGGCTGCTGCGGACAGAGCCACTCCACTATGCAAATATACCAGACACTGCATTTACTATGAATGGTTTTTGGCAAAACAGACTTCTTAGAATAGTTCTAAGCTGGTGGATGTTCTATTTCACTAGTATTTCCCCCCCACAGATAATTCTAGAACACAGAAGTCTCACTAATTCATTGATTTAGGAAATATTTATTGAATTCTAGTAAGGTTTAGGGAATGCATATTGCTAGACATTAGTGACAGAAGTTAAAGAGACCAGGTTCATAAGCTGTTCAATTACAATAGTGTTAAGGGCTGCGTGGGAATGCAGGCAGCCATGACAGCATATAAAGGGGCCTGCTTCCCTGGTAGGGCAGGAAACTTCTGAGAACTACACACTTTGGGGAAAAACTGAAATCTGGGCAATGACCTAGACATGATGGAGGATTACCCTTAAAAAGGCATTCTCAGCGGAGGGAAGCAAAACAGGTGAATGTCTCAATACCTCAGAAGAATTCTGAATTTCTGGAACCAAACTAGTATCAATGGGGCTAGAGAACAGAAATCCTGAAAGTAACATGAAATCAGGTAAGATTAGTAAGGTAGGTAGATCAAGTTGGGCTTTGTAGATCACTGAGGATTTTATATTTTAAGTTGTGATGAATGGGCAGTCATTATAGTGTTTTAAGAAGGGGAAGGACATAAGATTTGCATTAACAAATGAGAAAGGGGGAGAGATCACGAATCCTTGGGTCACTGTGAGGAGAATGGATGGGTGAGGGGTGGGAGAGAACTGGGTATAAGAGTTAAACCAGACATTTCTTAAATTTTGCCAGTTGCCTTAAGTTTTTTTTTACTTTTCAGAATTAACTATGCATAACCCATTTTTCTCTTAGGCAGTTGCCCACCAAAATAAAAATAGAATGTGAAATTGGAATGGCCCATTGTTTCTGGAGATTTTAGACTCATATTTCCATCATAAACCTTATCCCCTATTTTAATTCTGATCATTAAGATTGAATTTGTTTAGATTTAAGTTTGAATACCGAGAGGTTGTGATATAATAGAAATCTTAAAAATGTAACTGGATGAATCAACTGAAAACATAAGGGAAAAATGAGCAATGTAGTCTCATCTTGTTTGAAGAATATAGGTCAGAAACGAAAAAGACCATTTATCATGAACATGTAAATGAACAAAATTTTGCTCCCTTGAATAAGACCACAGAGGTATTGGAGGCCATAATAAATAAGTCTTTCAGATGTTAGGGTTGTCACACTAAGCTTCTTTACAAACACTTTACCACCTTTACTTCTTCTAAGCAATATACATATACATTTTTACTGGCATTTATATGTCTCTGCTTCAAAATCTGTTAGATTAAGAACTGGAAATTTTCCAGTCTTTAAAAAAGAATTGCCCTTTGGACTGTTAGCTTTAAAAATAAAACTGCCAGTTATTTTACCAGCGAAAAAATGGAGTTTATTTGGGAATAGCAGAGAATTACAATCCAGGACAAGCAAGCTATGGCAATAGCATTGGTAAATCTGCAGAACAAAGGAAAGGAATGCTCTTTTATAGAGGAAAGGGGGAAATTGAGAAGGCTGTTATAAATAAAAAGTCAATTGAAGTAAACTAGAAACTTGAAATATAGTGGTTTTTCATTGGCTGAGTTGTGACAGTCTCTAATACCTGGGCTTAACTGGGGGAGGAGGAAATCCTTCTTGCTGAGTAAAGTAGTATCCATATGCAAGGTACCCGGGCATCTTCTGTTGGGTCTGCTGTTGATGAGTGGCAGGACATAACAGCTCCCCCTGTTGGCCTCCCAACTCTATTCTAAGTGAGGTTTCCTTCTGTTAGTTTTCACATTTCCCACTTTTGATCAAGATCTTTTTTTGAAAGCATAACTGATCAAGAGGGAAGTATTCCACATTTAGTGGTTTTGTCCCTTAGTATGGGGAAGGGTCTTCCCCTGTTGCCATAGCCTACATTGGAGAGAAAGTACTTCTATAGTTGGAAAGCCCTAAAAGTCACATTTGAGTAACAAAGAAGATTAGGAGGGAGAAACTCTCAGGATCTCTCACCTAAAGTAGTATCTACTCAAGGTCCTAAGTATTGGAAATCATCTCGAAGGGTTGAACTGGCATCACGTTAGAGGATACAACATTTTTTTAAAGTCTAACAGGCAACAAAATAAAAAATTAAATATACAAAACAGAAGTAACATACCAATTCCATATTCTATAATGGTTCTAAACCAGGACCCTAGGTCTGAAGTAGCCACTGAAATATTTATTGACACTTATTCCAACTTATGGGAGAAAGATCCTATGAAGGCAAACCTGGAGTCATATATACCTCCTGGCAAGCTTCCTGGCAAGCTCCAATTAAAGAGACCATGAAAACAGAATCATAAAAACTAGAAGACAACGCTAAAAAAGAATTAACTGAGGCATCTTGAGAAGTTACAGTGCAGGAATAAACGTGAAGCAGTAGCTGATGAACTTTTTACAAAACAGCACAAATTCAAAGATGTTTTACAACAGTATTGTTATCTCAAAGAACCGTTGGAATCAAATGTGTTATTGAAAATACAGTCTATGGTTGCAAACTCAGAAACCATGAATCTGGATAAGAATCCAAAGTCAGTCGATAGCTCAGATGAAAGACTTTTGTGAATTCTGAACTTTCTAACCCTTCAAAAATAAAGCAAGTGGAAAACTAATTTGTCCCAGGATCATGATGAAGTGATTTCCAAAAAGCTATAATCAAAAGAAGAGGTTTCTGCCTTTTACAAGGTCTTGGGAAATAAAGAAGAGGCATTGTCTTCCCACAAAAGAGAAAGAAGCATCAATGGTGAGTAAAAGGTATACAGGCCTGGTCCAGGCATCCTGAGAAAGCTGTCTCATCAGATGTCACCTGCTTCAGTTCCAGGAAATCTTTATTTTTTTATGCCATCAGGTCCAGTTATGGTTTGGTGCTTTCTTTAGGTGAGTTACATGAATCCAAGAGTCTATTCCATGGAGTTTTGTGGCACAAGGATTAGTTTGCAATTCCTAGTAAGGGTCTTTCCAGTGAGGAAGAAGACTTTTTATGGAGGTATTTTTATCCAACAAAATCTCCTGAGAGTACATTGTGATAAGATTGCTCTACCCAAGTATGCTTATTTTTGAGCCCTGATGACAACCCAAAGACTGAAAGAACAGAGTCTCCACAGCAAAATATAAAAGAAGAGGACACATCAAAGAGGGTAGGAAGGACAGAGATGTGGTCAGGAGCCAAACTGACCCACAGGACTGTCCATAGGAGGGAGGGATGCCATAGGTACAGGTAGCAGTGGGGAGCAGACCCCACCCCAGGCACAAGGAACCCACCCCTGGAAGACAAATCCCCATAATCTTTGGCTTTGAAAATGGGAGGGGCCAAATTTCATAAGTTCTTACAATCAAAGGGGCTTAATACCTGGAACTTAAAAAAAATCAGCTGGCTTGGCTCTGAGAGACCCAGAGCACAATAGGCAACTGAGTTCTCACCCTTAAAGAGACAGCACACCAAACAGCTCCACTGAGACACAGCATAGAGCAGCAGTTTGAAAAACACCAGAGATATACAAGAAGGAGATGTAATAATAGTGTGTGTTGGAGGGGCAGGGATCTTTAGGAGGCTTTAACAACAAACGAGCTGGTAGGCGCCATTTCCCTCCCCTAGTCTAGATACACAGAGAGCTGTAGAAGACAATACTACTTGAACACTCTCTACCTAGCTTACTAACAGCATGACTTGGTCCCATTTTTCTGTAGATCTGCCCCTCCACAAACTGGCTGGCCTTGGCAGGAGTTTTCCTGGATGGCTGCAGCTCCTCTCCCACTTTGGCCTAGTACAGACCTTGCTGGCACCATCCATCCTGCCCCCACATTCCCCTGCAGAACTGTCCCCTCCAGTACAGCCTTAGCCTGGCCCATCCAAAGTAGTGCCACAAACCTGGCAGTCTACAAGCCCCAACAGGGACCAGCATCACTCCAAAATGACTCCTGCCCCTTTGGAGAGGAGAAGATAACCACAAAGACCAATCCAGCTACAGCCCAGGCAGTAGCCTAAGGGCAGACACCTGGTGGCCCTGTCCACTAAACA